CACACACACAGACACACAGACATATAAAGGGTAATAAATTACAGCTGATAATAATCAGAGTTCATTGAGATGTAAAATGTTTGATAACTAATCACTATAGTGGATATATTGAGTGTCAGCAGGCTGCCTGTTTGCCTGATGAAGGTCCAAGACACAGAAATGTCGTTAAATAAATTCATATTTTAGTCGGCAGTGAGTGTGTGTCTGGAAGTCAATCGTAGTTTTCATAAAACGATAAAATGTGAAATGATCTTTTATCTAATGAGCTGATAAAAATCCATGTTGGGCATCTGAAATTACACTGATATCAGAATGTAACTCTTCATTTCACCTGGACTGAGCAATAATCATCTTTAAATGATTGAAAAACACCATGTTTAATAACCAGGGTCATTATTTTGAAGTAATTCAGTCCCAAATATTAAGAGATGTAAGTGTGTGTCAGCTTCCACATACGACTGAGGAATAATCAGTGACACCTCACTGACTGTGAATGCAGCTTTAAGACGTTTGTGCTGCTCAGTTGGACTTTTTCTCCTCTTTCCGACATCGGGAGCGTCCGGCTGAGTGACGTGACTGTAGTGATAATGTGAAAGCAGTCAGCTGAAGATCACTCACACTCCTCCTGGTTGCTGCTGCCTTCGTCTGCCACCTGCGACCTCCTCGCCTTCTTCTTCATGTCGGTGCCTGGCAACCCTGCAGGGACACACAGAGGGCCACCGAGGTCAGAGGTCAAACCCACCGAGCTTCAACCAAACAGCCTCTCGGTTCATCGCCACAGAAACGTTAAAGAAACCCTGCTGGGTCCACCTGTAACTGCTCCAGTGCAGATTCATACCGATACCGTCCAGTGGTGACGTTTCAAACGGTGACTAAGTGAACACGGCGGGCGTCTGTGACGTGTGGACGGGAAACTACGGTGGCTTTAAAATGCTACAGGACATCCAGACGTTTCCAAACACACTGAACACGGCAGACTCAAGTTTGGGTGAAAGTGTGTAAAAGGATGCGCGACACATCCATATGTGTGTAATTATTCAGGCAGCCTTTGTTAACAGAGCTGCAACTAACTCATTATTTCTGTTATCAATCAACCTGTGATCATTTTCTGATTCATTGATTCAGTATTTGGTTTGAACTTCTGAGACAATCTGAACAATCCTGTAATGTTATCTAGTTAGAATCCCACATTCAGACACACATACACAAGAGCTGTAACTATTGATTATGCTGTTGGTTATTCTCTTCATTAATTGATTGATTATTTGTATGGAAGCCAATTTCTGCCAATGTGAGCAACAATAAGGATTCTGTGAGTCATTATAATGACACACTGTCTTTTTATTAACATCTTCAAATAATGTTTTTGTGACACTAACCCTTTTTCCCATCACACTGGCACAAATGGGCTTCCGTACATTAGAATCTAATCTATAAAATAAGACATTTAAAGGTTTATAGATGTATAAAACTTTAAATGTTTTACTTTATCCGATCCAGATAAAATAAGATTACACAGACAAACCTTTCCTGTGATATAAAACATCATATTGTCACATTAAACAGCATTAAGAAACTCAATCCATCATTACAAGGAGAAGATTTGTGCATTTGTCCTTAAATGATAATGATTAAACAGTATTATTAAGAGTACACAACAAAGTGGCAGTAGGATAAAAGCAGGCCTCCTACAATATGTGCACAAGTGTTCAATAAGTGTGAAAGTGTGAATATGAATATAAAGTGTAAAAGGTTAGAAGCCACACGGTCACATTGGGTTTGGTGAAACGTTAGAAGAAGAGTGACGTTGAGCGGATTAAAACCCGGGAACTGAATAAATGTCGGAATAAAAACCTACTTTACATTCAGGAGTGAACGATGTCACACTGCGCTCATCTCAGGCTCCTTTCTGGACCCTTTATTCCGCTTCTTTGTGTTTATTTGTCAATAACGTTGTTGACTTTTAAATTTCCCTCTTTCAAAACAAAAGCACGTCACTTCCGCTGCTCCTTCTTCTTCTTCTGCTGCTGCTGCTTTAGTGTAGCTCGTAGCTCCAGCGCCCCCTTATGGCCGGTTGGTAAAGCGCTCCAGGTGAGTCAGCAGCCAGGTTGTTACTGTTCACTAAAACTGAATTATATTATATAACATACACTTTAAAAATATCATCCACACAATAACTGATTACCTGTTAGAAAATGGAGTCAGTTAATCCAAATATCACAATATTAAAGGAGCACAACTGGATTCTGTTACTTTTGGATTACCTCAACATCAAATATGCAAATAACAATTGTAACCTTGGAAACAGGAATGGACACAAAATAATAATATAATATAATATAATGTAATATAATATAATATAATATAATATAATGTAATATAATATAATATAATATAATATAATATAATATAATGTAATA